CTTGGAAACAGAGTCACATCTAAGAAAATTAAACTGTCAATACCAATCACATCAAGTGATCAAGCATTAAATAAATTTAGAAGATTTTAGCGCTTTTGCGAAATATATATCATATATATATAATTTGAATATTCATTTGTTTGAATCTAGTTTCACCGGCAATGTTTATTTACGAGGTAGCTAAATCTTTGATGTCGCATTGGCCGTCGTCCACGCCCTGTGGAAACGACGACGCGTCACGCTAACTACCGCTGTTACATTTTATGTAATCTAACTGTCCTGGCTTAAGCTTTAAGACCCTTAATGTACATTTTCAAAAACATAAATTGATACAGATACTTTTGCCGAATTATTTTTGTTCCTTGAATTTTATTTAACCGATAAAACCAGCTAAAGATCCTTGTATCTTGTATTAACTGATGTTTTTGCTTTCAGTCCCGAGATTATTAAAGCTTCATCTGACGCAGAACCGGTGGGCTAGCCAGAACCCACGGGTTTGGGCCCTCCGCTGGAGGTAGGGCCACGCATGTGCTCATGCGTGCGTTTAAGTATGGTGTGTCATCTAAGGGCCATCGAGGTCGCGGTTCGGACCGAAACCCCGATGGCCGTAGCTAAAGATTGGAACATCATTTGGCGATGCACATTATTATGTTATGTGCAGTATTTTTAAAATATGTTTAACTACCTGAAACCTTACGCCCACGCAAATTCGATTATAATTCTCCCAGACAGTGCGCAAGCGAAATGTAACCTAACTATAATGGCATCGGCGCCAAGCAAGAAGTTATTATGGATTATCGGTATAATTATTTGCAACTATCAAACCAGTATTGTCTAAAGTATCCGCGCCGATCAAAATTAGATCAATAAAGTGCTACAGACCTACGTAATATTTAACGTATCCTACATGAATTAAATTCCGATCAAGTTTGGTTTTGAAACCAATCTTTACGAAGAGAATAATCTTAACCATGTAGTACTTTCGGGAAAATTTGGTTATAACTTAAAAAGATGTTTACACAATTTACAATTCATACATAAGTCTTAGTAGGCTATATGGTACATAGATTTAATATGTGTTCGAATGTCAATTCCTTGTAAGAAAACTCCGAAAAGTAAAAAACATTAAAAAAAACTTTTGCGTGTACTTATGTACGCACGTAAGAAGTTATACTTCTTTAAAGTTGAGGAAAAACTACGAAAAATAAAATGTTATATAAATAAATAAGCCTTTATTGCTGCTCTTAACTTTAACATATGCGTGCCTTAAACTCGATTAACTTAATTAAACTTTGGTTTACTTAAACTTAATGAATACTAATAATTTTTAAAACATTTCTTTATTCTTCATTACTACTTGTTTCTCCATTTCATTCTTTATTTTCCACGTATTAGCAATTCTTCTTTCTAGTTCTTTTTGCATGCATGCACTCTTCGGTAGATATTAGTTGTCATATACAACGTCAAATATATCAAATACTTTCATTTCTGCCACTGCGACCTCATGGATTAAAATGAGAAAATTTTCTGTGAAGTATGCCAGAGATCTAAATGTAAAATTAAAGAAAAATAATTTTAAAATACTTCTTTTGGAATGCATAACGATTATTGAGATTCGATGTGCATTTTCGGTAATCTATTCGTGACATATTTTCCGACAGACCAAATTCTGAAATTAATCCTGATTATTCAGGCATCGTTTCATTAAAATTTTGCCATTTATTTGGTAATTATGGACAGACATCGCAATTTTATTATTAAAGTTAAATAAAGCTAATAACTTAAGCTTTACCAGACAGTTTTTTGACAATTATATAGTTACCAAATCCAAAATACTTCAGTAATGCACTGCATAACAATTATAATTTGCTGAATGTAATTAAGTATACCACAATTCTGGCCCGATACCTATACCTCATTTTGTTACAACAACAAACACAAAGTTATCGATATTTTTCTATTCTTCCAATAATATAAAAATTTGGAAATACTACTTTGGCCGGGTAATTAGTTAACTGTTAAACATTGCTGAAACACAAACTAATCATTTTCCTCTTAAACGTGAATCAGTTTTCTAACTTTATCACTTTCTTATCATTAGTTTGCACCGACCAAAGGCAACCTACCTAGTCGATGACGATAAGATAGTAAACTACGACAATACCTTTCAACGCAGAACTTGTGATAAAAAGATAACTGGTCTTACTATCATCTTATATTATTCATATTTTGTACTCCCATTGGCGCCTCTTGAGACTTGCATTTAAATTAAATGAAAATCATCTTTATACTTGCTTTGATATACAAAGTTATGGACCCTAGTACATGTCATGAAGTTATCGTTGATAACACCGTCCTTAGTGTTCTAATAATAAACTTCACTATAGCAAGGCCGCGCAACAGCTTCTGCTGAAGCAAAAATGGGCAGGCTCTTCACAGAAAGTACCACGGCCTCACGAAGACCGGCGTGAAGAACACATTCGCGATTTCGCGAGTGAGATAAACAAACGGCGTCCGCTTTTTTGAAAGATGATAAACGCATCCAAAGGATCAAATCCAAGGGATTGAAGGTGTCCACAAACCGCCGCTCGCCGGACACTTTCAATCACTTAACATCAGTGAACCGCAAAGCCTACTAAATTACTTAAACTATCGCTAGGGGCACATAACTTTCCATTACAGAAATTTTCAACCAGTATACAATTCTAAAATCTTACAAGTTATAGTTTTTCCTGTATTAAAATATGATAAACAACAAATGGTTCAACTGATGTTTAGCGATAACCGTTACTTACAAATAATCGCAACTTTACAAGTTTTGCTAATCTGTAAGAGGGTTCGATTTCGGCTCATTTTTGATTTAATAGGGTATAATTACCCTTGAACTATGTACTAAACATTGACCTCACATTTGAGATCGGAAAAATGTTCTACAACTTGACAAGCGAAAGACCATTACCAATACTTATCGTTTATCCAAACAATTATATCGGCACAATTAGTTTAGTGTAAAAATTTCATCTAAGGTCTTGCTGTAATTAAATATTTTCTGTATAAATGCTTTATTATCTTCCTCAAACCAGCGAGGTGTACTGCTTCCATTTTGAATTGCAGCTATTTTAATTTTATAATATATTTTCACTGTGATCGAGCCGCACAACACATTCTTCTAATTTTAAATCTGCTAAGGAAGTCTGGGAAAGTACCACGGTTTTCAGGATATGATTCAGAAACATTATTTGTACTTTACTTCATTCATCTCTTCCATTGAGCGACTTAATCGACCCCAGCACCCACTAAAAGGTTGGCAAAAACTACCAAATGTTACAAATTTCCAAGCAAGACATTTTGACATATGGCTGCCAACTTCATCTTTTTCCCGTGAAAAAGTATAGATTTTTTTTATGTGAAAAGTTGCCAAACGAGCAGACGGTTCACCTGATGGTAAGTGAATACCGCCGCCCATGGTCATCTGCCTCACCCGAGGGTTACAGATGCGTTGACAACCTTTTGAAAATTTGGCTCCGGCTACCTCACTCACCAGACGAAACGCGAAAGTATTTGTCATACTTCCACTTTACGCTGGTCTTCTGTGAAGTCGTGGTACTTACACGGACGGGCCTGCCTATTCGTGCAACAGCCGAGGCTGCTGCGTGGCCCTTCCACCGCAAAAGATATATTTTAGATATATTTTATGTGACTTTCTACGGATTGACCAAAAAGATGTTAACAGCCTTACCCCTTATTACGTTCATTCATTTACACTGAAGTTTTCCTATGGTTTGTATAATCAGTAGTTCACAAAATCACAAATCTAAAAGCGAAAAGAAATCACAAATCTAAAAGAAAATGCACGCACTTATTTCAAAATATGATTAAGTTTTATATGATAATTATGCTTTTGCGCATTTCTAAAAACTACACACCGAGAGTACATTAAAGGTTTAGATACCTAATGTTTAGTACAAACTATACATTTAAAGATTGAACCACAATTCTGGTAACCGCGCACGGGCATTGTAACCTAAACTATTACGGTATATATATGAAAGCTCCTTATTTCACTTGAAATGCCCTTATGTAATTGTATATTAAGAACATATTATATAAGTGAAATCTCTTAACGAATAAAAGTCATAATATTTTACTCGACGGATTCAACGCAGAGTGACCGTCCAACGTCAGCAAATCCGTTCATTCACAGAAACCATATATTTTATCCCTTAGTTTAGGTTACCCTCGTCCGAGTACTGAATGTTATTGAAATTGAATGAGTGAAATGAACGATTGTAATAATGAGTTCTTTTCTATTTTAAGCTTTTATCATAATTCCTTTTGTAAACAGGTTTAGGTATATTAATACCAAACCATTTTAACACGACTAGTTAAAAAACTTACGATTGTATTGGTAGTTGCGACAAGTACATACCGCGTCACCTGTTTCATGTGTGTGCACACCTGCTTTCCTATCTAAATATTGACATATTGTTACATATCATATATTAAATTGAAAAAATAGGTTATTGTTTAATGCATTTCAAGTCTCATTTAATTATTTTATACTACGTGATTATATTATATGATTATAGCTATTTATAAATTTTCATAAAGAATGAATGAAAATTCTTGAATATGTAATAATTTAGTCATTTTCATTGGATTTTCATTATGCATCAAAGTTTAAACTTAATTATATAAAATCTTACTAATCATCATTAATTTAGTTCTGAGAAATAGTATAATTTACTGTTTTGGTGTGGTAAAATAGCTTTAAAAAAACGCTTCATGAAGAAAAAGTAATAAGTAATCGAAACCTTAAATTAAGTCCACATTTTTACTTGCCACCATTCAAGGTATAGTGAGGACGATGACATGGGCAGATTATTTTTAGGAGCAGCAGTCCAAAATAATTAACTGACCAAAATGCACTAACTGAATGCAATTGATATTATGCAAAATATCTGTATAGTGCTTATAATCGATTAATCGTATATTCTTACTTGAGATAATAAATCTGTCCTTCTGGAGTGCGAGCTTGTTCCCAGCCGGACGGTAGCGGGCCAAGATCGTCTGGAATATGTGTTCCGACATCATAAGATCTTTGTTTTGAGTGCTGGTGGTGTAAAGGTGCCGGTTGGCTCTGTTGTCCAGCTGCATACGTTTGTTGAAGGCTGGCCGGTGAAGAGTGTGCCCTGGAGTGCGATACTGGAGCGGAGCCTGTCGCAGACGACGACCCGAATGCCGAATCAGCAGAGTTTTCTCGCGAGTGAGACACGGATGGCGACTTGGAACCGGTCGACGGCGGGTTAAAGAACGACTTTGGAAGCTGTCGCATACGCAGAGGCACCTGTAGCGGCCGCTTCGAGTCCGGCTTAAGCACTGTGTCGAACAACGACTGCAGAACCGAGTCCGAATCCTGGTCTACGCGGAGGACCAGGTTCGATTTCTGTTCACTGTCCGGATTGAGAGCCATGATTAGTGTCGGACCGAAGAAATCCCGAAACCGACCTGGCCCACCGCTGTGACACAACACTGACACGCGACGGGCTGGCGCGGCGCCACCCGACGTACTTGTAATATGGCGCTCGGTGCGCGACTGACGCACGCCCCGCCCGCACCGCACAATGTTCCCTGCCCACGCGCACCCGCCGCACCACCCGCGCGGACCGGTCTTCGAGAACGATGCCCCTCAACCTCAACCCGCTTTACATACTTACCTTAGGAGTATAATAACTAACTTGTCTAGTGCTTACCTACCATTTTACTATTCCTAACTCCTATTACGTTTAAATAAGGACGGTTTGATATATAATAAATTAAATAAGTTAAAAAAAAAAACAAAACAAGTTCACCTTTTTACGTAATTATAATATATAGTAATATATAATTTAATATAAGTAGTACTAATGAAGATGTTTTACTAAACTTCAAAGGCGAAGTTCTATAGATATTGTAAAATAAATCATAAAATAATTATTACACATCCAAACTCATTCATATAAGAAAATATTTGAAACTTACACTTAAAATGTAACTAATGTGCCATTACTATTAGGATAATATATTACAATAAACAATATAAATTAAAAGAATTGTGAACGGCTACAAATTAAACAAAAAATAAATTTGTTGCATTTAAATACGTTTACGAATCCGCCATATAAACATTTGTTTGTGTTGCCAAATGCCAACTTGTCACTGTTGAGTGCTGTCTGTCGAACTAAAAAACTAAATATATATTCTATAAAAGATAAATACTATATTCATTAAAAGTTTCTTTCTAGCGCTTAATGCATAAAATGTAAAATAATATTTAGTTAATTTTTTGTACATTAAATAAATATATAAATTACACTTCATCAAAATGAGAATCATCCTTTATTCTAGCTTTAATCTCTTTTCTGACAGTTAGCATTTTACTATACTATACTATAATTATAACTATATCGATGTAACAAAAATCGTAATCGTATAGTTTTGTACCTAAAAATTTTCTCCGTTACCTTACAATTTTTAAAATATAATTATCTTCATGATTTTATTGATCAGTTAAAACAATTTCTTGTCATGGGTAAAAACGTAAACAGTTAACATTTCATCAATATGAACTCTTAACATCCTAGGTGACCACGTAAGAATATAAAAACGGTATAAAAGTTAAGAGCTATCAAAATAATGAGAATTAGGGAAATCATAATATATAGTAGTTGTCGCTAAAACATTCAGCCAATATTTTATTGTTTTTCTTTGCTTACCGTGTAATGAAGCAGTAATGATATTCTATACCACAGATATTATGTTATTAACGTGGCAAGTGAAGCCACGAGAACGTCCCAATTGGGACATCTAGTCTTTAGTTCACTTTTGGAAAGGCGGCGAGTAAGATGTGTAAGGTATCAAAAATATTACAATAACGAAAATACCGTTTTGTATCTATAAGATTAACCAAGTATTACTGTAAAATTAACAATAGCTCGCTCGACTAGGAGTTCACTTAGAATCAGTGCCGGATTAAGCAAGCGTGGGGCCCTTAGCGAATGCTTTCAAAGAGTCCTTGATCTGCTATGGGTATAGCTAAATTATCCTTAAAATTAAAATAGGATTGCTAAATTATCCTTAAAATAATATAGACTTAATAATCTTATCAATACTTATAATGGCCATTACAATTCTGCTACACACCAACACTAAGCGTCGAGTAAGAGTGCTTGCATACGTCAGACTTTTTGTATGGGTGATTATCGTACAGACTGAAAATCTACACGTTTATATTTTTCTAGAACTTGTGCGTTTCCTGTATGAAATTCGATAATTTACGCCAAGGAAATAATCAGTTACCGATTGTCTTACTAACAAAAGTTGTAAATTTTCACGTTTTTGTGACATCAAGTAAATCTTAATAAGTTTCACTCAGAAAACTACGCTCAAGCAGAGATCAGAATTAAAATATGCGGAGCCTTTCGCACCGTAGGAATTGCTACTCTTGTTACGTGGTTAATCCGGCACTGCTTTGAATCGTTAGTAACTAGGGAGTTGCCATGGATGCACGGGTTTATCTCCGAATCTGATCCTCCGTCAGGACGGAGGAAACAAGCCAGAAGAGGCGTTTCAATTAATTAAACAGCGGGAACGGTAGAACGTATAAGCAACGTGTCACGCCTGGCTCTGTGAAGAGAGTTATGCGCGCAAATGCGTTGTTTAAGCTTTCCTGCCGATATTCGAAGCCTAGATAGATCGACGAGGGGGTAGACTCACTTACAGACTTACATAGATAATTACCGGACATGCATGTTTCGGTAATTATTTGTATAAGATCGGGCTTGAGGCGACCACGAGCTACAAACATTGCGGAGGGAAAGACTAGACTTATAGGATACTACCCTAACGGGAGAAATCATATGGGACCTCTCTCTATCAGCAATCGTGTCAGCAATGCTGAGTGGAGATACGGCATGGAGAGCCTACATCTTCTGCGAGAAGGTAATGGTCCAGAAGGAGGCTGCTGAGCGAGAGAGAGAGAGAGGACGGATCCGACTCGGAGGCGGGGCGGCGGAGATGCTCGCGCATCTCCTCATGACCGTTTTGATATTAATTCCCCCCTACCTAAAACAGGGGCACAACGGTCGCTGTGAAGAGAGCAGACCAATGCAGGTACAAGTCCTAAGTCTTCCAAAAAGACCCTTAGGAGTAGGACACGATGGCTCGAATCGGTCTTGAACTACATCTAGCACTGCGGAGATGGCCCACACGAAGAAGGGGCCGTGGTAGTTTTCTGAAAGGAGATTCCATGACCCCTCATTTGAGTAGCTGGCGAACACCGTGGTGGTTTAGCCGGTGCGAGTCCGACATAACCTGGGTTACCCCTTACAGCGAGCTCAGGTGTCCATAACAGATTTCCCCACGGAAAAAAAAACTGCAGTTAAATGAAAACGTCACTAACTGAGAGCAATCACAAAGCAATATAGTTAATATATCCTATTACAACGCCGTATTGCATAATTTATGATTGTAAAAATAAAAGCCGAACAAAGCCGTTTTCAGATTACAAGCCAGTGCTATATTAGTATTTTTATTGTCTTTTTAATTAACTTTTTAATTTGTGTCCAGTTCACTTATTTAATTCTTTAGTATTAATAATTCTCAAAATACTTCATTAATAGCATGATAGAAAAACAACATTTTAAGGTATGCAATAAGTATGATCATTTTAACTTCTATTTATATAGTTTATTTAAACATGATTTTTCACATCCCGCATCTGGTAAACATGTGAACTAGTGTAACAAATTTAGACACAATATTATGATTATTAAGATTATATTTTACAAAATAAATCAATTTTACGAAAAATCGTAAATTTATTTTGAACTACACTGAAAACGCAACCTAAAGTTAAAATTTTAAAGTTTATTTTGCCAGGTCAAAAAACTTTCTAGTCAAGTAGGGAATACGGATTGCTTGAATGATCTTTGCTACTCAGTTAGTGAAGGACCATTAGCTTTACGGAAAGCATCGATATCGATAAGACTTTGATCATAAATTTAAGTAAACATGTAATAACCAGAAAATATATATATCATAACCATAGTTAAGATTATAGCTTAAACAATCACTTTCATCTTGTGGATACTTATTTTAATTGTTTTACTTGAAGTTATTTTAATTAGATTTTTGTAAAAAAAAGTAGATAAACATAACTGACAGAATGAATCGCATGTCATCGCAGTCAAGCATGATTTATTCATAATATTATGTGGAAAATATATGTAGATATATAACAAAAAAGCCACATTAATATTTTTTTTCCTAAATAAATTCATTAATTTACTACTCAAATATGGACAATATTATGCACAATCTATACAGAGCAAAAATCAAAATGAAAACTAATTTTACGGATTTATCGCGTTTATTTTTAATTTTAATTCCTGACATTTCGAACCCTTTACAGCGTTCATGGTCACGGGACAGCAATGAGACGTTAGACGTCTGATTGTCATAGTTAAACCGGGCTACCGTCAGTTTTTGAATTATTAATTTTGTGTCCGATCTATGCAAAGGGAGCTAATTGTATCTTGTCTTGCAGTAGTGGTTCGTTTGGGCCTAGATTTAATTTTTTTGATGTCAGGATCCCAAGCTGATGGTAGCACCCAACCCTGTAATCTATTGAAATTAGGATGTTTTTTATTTCAATAGCCTCGCGAATCATCCTTGGGAGGAATCGGTGTTCTTTTGCAAGGATCTGTGGTCTATCAAACCTGATGTAGTGGTTGGGCCGATTTAAGGTGTGCTCACAAACTGCAGACTTGTTCAATCTATTATGTTTTATGTCAGCTATATGTTCTTTCACGCGGGTTTTTATTGCTCTTTTCGTTTGTCCTATGTAAGAGAGCCCACATTCACAGTCAAGTTTGTACACTCCTGGATCTTGCAGAGGGATATTACACTTGACAGATAGTACAAACTGACTAATCTTCTTCAGCGGCTTGTAGAATGTATTAATTGAAGCCTGCTTTAAGATATAGCGAATCTTGTGACTCCTCTGACTTATGGTAGAACAGCAGGTACTCGCTTCACTGTGGCTGGTTTCACTCGGTCACTGTGACGGAGGAGTGGTTCTCGAAGCTTATTGTCATGCAGAACTTGCTTGACATGTTGAAGCTCAGCGGCCAGGTGTTTTTGTCACAGATCCCTTGTGCTCTCGGAAACAAAGATTTACCCACGGTAGCTAACTGGGATGGATGGTGGTGAGAGTCACCGTTTAGGTATCTATTTGTATGGGTAGCCTTCCTATACGCAGTGTGGCTTACAGTGTTATTTGGATTGCAGATGACCAAAACATTTAAGAAAGCTAAAGAGTTATTTTTCTCTAATTCCATACTAAGCTGTATTTTGGAATTTACTAAAATCCGTAAAATTAGTTTCATGTATAATGTGCAATCGCATAAATACAAGAAATTATCAGAGCAAAAATCGTTTTAGATCTCAAAAGCTACCACGGTATAACTTAAATATCGATAAACTCTATTTGATTATGAGCACAACCCTAATAACTAAATAAAAATACATTCATAGTAATGAGCAATTATTGTCTTTAATTTCAAGAGATAAGGATGTTTGTATGTCTAGTGACAGTACTCGATTGATATTTTTTATTGTAAGAGGTTCGTAAATGAAATCTTGACGTAGAGACTTTAAAATGTTTTTTTCAATTAATAGCAATTAACATTTAAGTTCAAATGTTTTGAATATTTAATGTCAATAGCATCTAAGACAAACTTGTAGATCAAACTACGACACACGCCACGCATTACTTGGACGAGAGTGGCGGTCACATAGTGCTTTGGTATATAGGGTGGTGGTGGCGCTGGCGACTGCGGGTCCTAATAGAGACTGGTGAGTGTGACTTGTGAGATGCCAGCTTAGGAATTTTCTTCTTATGAAGAAAAACTTACAATGAAAGTTTTTAGGAGGTATTTTCAAGCCAAAACATCCTAAATGAGAAACATTTATGAAGTTTTTGTTTCAATTTAGTGAAATTTTAGTGACTTTAAGTTATATGAAACCAGTTTACGAATTTTATCACGTTTTAATTTGGGTTTTTGAATTAGTTTATGAGTATTTTGTTTTGAACAGTTGGTATTTTGGAAACACTGTTGGGATTACTGTGTGTGTGAGAACCACTTCCACTGTTTTCTCTATTACGTGGTAGCGGAGCCCCATGTCGAGTGAGGCGATTCGAAATCAAAGCGACTCAGATCGACTAATGAGAAAGTCAGAATTCAGATCGATGCAACAACTTCAAACGTCTACGTCAGGTCGATTTAATCGACTCAACTAGCGACCTACTACGCAAGAAGTCCATCGTTAGTTGTAATTATATACATTTTACGAATCCGGAATCTCCATATTTGTATTTTCATATTTTGTATAATCTGTTGACTGTTCCACAGAGTCGTATGGAATTATGTTTATTTATTGTTTATAATACTCGAATCTCATGTTAGTCCGAATAGAGATTCGGACAACACGCTTAATTTTATTTGCTTTAAGTTATTTAGATACTAAAAAGAAGTTTAAATAAAAACGGTGTACGAGGTAGAATGATTAATGCAACATTAAATTAAAGTATACATTATACAAACCTTAACATCGCCAAACGCGCATGCGTGTTGAACCATGAAAAACAACGTGGAAAAATCGTTAAAGAAATCTCGCATAAATGTGAAGTGCAGGCTCAGAGAGTTACAGTATATATTTAGAATAACATGAATAGTAAACTTTAGAAATGAGTTTCAATTTTAATTTTGAACGATGGTGCCGTCTGTGCGCTGAAGAACAAGAAGTCACTATAATGATCTTTAGTGCTGAAGCCGAAGCAATGCTTCTTCACAACAAACTCAATAAATATTTACTAATAAATGTAATACACAATGCAAAATTACAATGTATTTTTTGTAGCGACACCATGTCAATTATATATAAAGTATTATAATTTGAATTCCACAGGTTGATGAGGATGACAAGTTACCAAAAAATATTTGTATTAAATGTTGTACAAAATTACAAAATGTATGTGAATTTATAGACATAGTTAGAAAGGCACAAGAGACACTACATAATCATATTTTGATGCTAGATAATATGGAAAAAGAATACTCTGCACCAAATATAAAGTTAGAAACTGAAACTGATAATATTTCAAAAGAGTCATCTATGGAAATCAGTGTAGATCCAATGATGGTTTTGCAAAATGGTAATGGTGAATTGTCACCTTCTTTAGATGAAAATGCTGAAAATAAATTAGAAGATATTGTTTATTTAAATGGGGTGGACGGTGAAAATGTAACTATTAAATTGATAAAAAAAATTGATGATTCTCCAGACTTGGAAAGTGAAAAAAAGCCTCTGATAAAACCATTTCAATGTTACAAATGTAAAAGGAGTTTTCTTTCGGAACTAGCTTTAAAAAACCATTTTTGGGTTCATTTTAATGAAGAAGTAACAACTAAGAAATACAACTGCAGCACTTGTCTTGAAGGATTTGATTTTAAATGTGATTTGATCACACATTTAAAAACACATCGCACATCTGGAATGTGCCAATTATGTGGAAGATAGTAAGTATCTGTTTGTGGAAATCAAGTATTTGTTTCAAATAATCAGTAGGTGGAATTTTACAAGTTCTTTGAATTTGATGCAATTTTTTTTACTTTACTTTTTTTACATAAACTCATTATGTTTGCTACTGTTTGATAGATGTGTGTGAACTGTGGCAAAAGGTAATAAATCTATTCAACTCAGCAATTATTTAATTAAATAGGGTGGGATAAAGTAAAAATTTACACCATTTGGTTAGAACAGGAAAGCAATCGCTGAACGAGAATGGCTGGACTGATTTGGCTAATTTTGGTTTTGATATATTCGTGGCAGGCCAGGGAAGGAAATTATGGAAAAATTGCATGGAAAATCGAAATAGCCACAATTTTATTTTCCCATACAAACTGTACCTGTCAACCTATCAAACGATTCCTCTATAAATAATTTATATGGCAAAAGAACATTTACGCTTAAACTTTTTATCATCATTGCATTGAATTTTAAGTATAATGTATGACAGTTTCAGAAGTGAACAAAATTTAGCTATCCATATGGCTTGTCACATGTCCAAAGGAATATTGTATACATGTAAAGTATGTCACCGATCTTATGATACAAGAAGCAATTTAAAAACTCATAGTATAACACACAGTAATGAGAGACCTTACAATTGTCATCTTTGTAAGAAAAGTTTTAAAAGAAACCAAGATCTAAAGGTAAAAATATTTTTTTTTTATTATTACGTCTAGCTAGTGCTGCCATCCATTCTATCTATCTATATGTACATACACATACTCTGAACTCAACATACTGAACTCCTTTACGAGGAGTGGCTGGACCAATTTTAATGAAATTTTATATATATTTTTGGTAGGTCTGAGAATCGGTTGCAATCTTGAATCTTGAGAATTGCTTGAACCCGTTTGCAATCCACAGGCTGAAATGAGGATGATACCCTTGTGTTTGGCTTTTCGAGGTAAATGGGGTCCTCCATTTTAATTGTTGGCAACCCATCCACCACCTGCTTGCTTGCCAACTGTTCTCACATGAAAAAACATTTATTTTTCATTCCTTTTTCAGTTTCATATTAATCAACACACAGGTGCAAAGCCATACAAATGTCCTTTTTGTGATAAGTCATTTGCTAGTTCTGGAAACTGCTACTCACACAGAAGTCGAATGCATCCTGATAAACAAATTGAAGTCAAAGGGCGGCAAGGCTCTGCTGCCACAAAAGGAAACTCGACTTTAAAGCCACTTACTCCTAAAAGTTGTCTCACTGCAGTGAAAGGCATTTTTAAATACCAATGTCAACTATGTGAACATAGTTTTATGAAGAGAGAAAACTTTACAGTTAGTATTTTTAAAACAACTTGTATCACAAATTTGCATAAAAGATCCTTGATAATGTTGGTATGATTATTAGTTTTCATTGTATTTTTTTACCACATTCTAAATTTAATTACTTTTTATTTACAGTATCACATGTATCAGCACACAGGAGAAAAACCATTTCAGTGCACACACTGCACTGCAACATTTGTAACTAGAAGAGGTATAATTATTCATTATGACAAAGTGCACCCTGGAAAGGATCGCCCACTTGCACTACTGTCCAAAAATATTTTACTTAAATAAAGTGATAAGTAAAATTGTTTGCATTCGTTTTAATGGAGTAGTTAAAATCAGTCTTAGTTATTATGACTTTATCCCTTTATTGTCACCACAACATTAGTGCATTGCAATTTTTAAAAGTTGACAAGACACTGATTATGCACATTAAAAATTATTATTATTATAATTGGGTGAAAGCATACCACTAAAACAAATAATTTCAGGATTTTTAAATTGAAATTGTTTGTGCAAAAAAAATATTTTTACATTAAAATATATTTCATTTAAAATAATGTTTGTTTTCAAGTGTGCATGAAGTTATTAGCTGAGGATCTTGCTTGTTCGCAGTTTGTGTGCGTTTCTTTTAATTTTACTCATGTTTTTACTTTCACTCCATAGACTATTAAACGAGCATTGAAGGCAGAACTCATGGACTAGCTTGAACCTACGAGATAATAAGGCTCTCTGCATAGGTATGTCACCTATTAGCCATGGAGATTTGATACAAATCGTGACCTCGATCGCCGTTTATTAGAAGTGGGCGATATAAATCGTATACAGATATGAAAACGATATATTGGTACAGTATCAAAATTGTATTTTACAATATCTGATATTTCGGAAATCTGATGTACCGAATACTCGCTCACTCGCTATACCAACACGAATCGCGATATCATACGCGTAATATCAGATTTTTAGACAAAGCGCGCGAGATACAAATATTCACTAGTTAGAGCCAAGAGCGGTACGGCAAGTAATGCACGATATCAGATTTTTAAACAGATTTCGAGCGACAAAGCGCGTGAGATACAAATATTACATTAGTTGAGCAGTACAGCAACAGTATCAGATTTTTAAACAAATTTTATGAATAAGTTAAGTAATTTTGAATCTTAACAGCATGCAAATAAGATCCGTTTCATTTAAATGCTAAGCATGGTATCAACATTGCGATATCTTTTAATTCTTTTATTTAGCCTTGAGCCGTAGCGAGCGACAAAGCGCGTGAGATCAAATATTACACTAGTTAGAGGGGTACGGCAAACAATGCACAATATCAGATTTTAAAACAGATTTTATGAATAAGTTAAGTAATTTTGAATCTTAATTGTATGGAATAATTCACGATGTCTTTAAATTTTGTTTAGCCTTGACCTGGAGTGCATTGAACTGCATTGGTACTTAAGTACGTAATAGTACGGGATGGCAACTTAGGAATTTTCTTCCTAAATTAAGGAAGCAAAATATACAATGGAAATTTTTAGGAGGTAAATTTTTTGGAAGATTTTTAGGAGTTAAGTATGATGCACATTTAAAAAAAATTAAAATACACTAAACGAAAAAAAATATAATGTAATAGTTCCGTGTTGCTGGATGCTGCTGTTGGTGGACGCCGAGACTTATGTGTCTTGTGTGTATATCAGTGATTATCAAACTTATTTCTTTTACCACCTCCTTTAAAAATCAATTATTTTTCAGCGCGCCCCATTGTTTATAAACTTAAAAACCACAATTTCATTACTTTAGTTGATTTAGTTATATAACTCGGTTCTGATGTTTAAACTTACATTCTAAACAAGAAATTTTTACCAATGAGAACAAATAAAACGCAACTTCATAATATTAATAATATATTTTAATCAAATTAAAAGAAATAATATCTAATGAGATGGATGAATTTGATGATATTTAATAAGTTTGTTGATATCAGGTTCGATTTTACTCAAAAACAATAAGTGGTAAGTCGCCGCGTTTGGTAACTTGCCATTGATTGCTTTTTTTTAGTAATCAGCGTTGTCACAGCGCTAAATCCACGTTCACACTATGGCATGAAATGTGCGGAATGCCATTAAATAAAACTCACAAATGTGCTCACTGTTAATTGTATTACATCAGAAGAACTTTAGATGTGTTCACAATATTTTCACCCTTAAAGTAATGTTATTGTTAACAAAGCAAATAGACCGTTGTGTTCTCAGCGGCGAGTCTCGAGGCAGAGGTTACTCCCCGGTCGCCGACCAATCAGAGGCGACTCGTTTGCAAACCGCGAGTCGCGCGCTTTTGCGCGCTAAATTTAAAATAGACGCGGCGGTTGTTTTCATCCGCCACATCACCCCCCTAGGCAGAAAATTAGCCCATCCAAAAAAATAAAAACTAAACATGCAATAAATTCTTAACCTAAATATAAAAAAGAAAAAAAAACAACATGCTTATAATCTAATTATGAGAATGATGAATGGAAGAGCATTTAAAGTAAATTACAGGTTCAAACGGTCTTTAAAATGGACGCTACGACCTGAGCGAGTAGTGTAAGGAGGTGGTTAGGAGTGCTTAATACAAGCAGGAGGCGCAGCTGGGACAACTGGAGTTGCAGCTGGAGTAGGCCAAGCAGGTGAGTTTGCAGTTGCTCTGGGTGCTGACGGTACTGAATTGTCTACGATGTATGCCGCGGTTTTACACGGTCAAGACTCACTTGCGTGTTTCTGTCACCGACAGTGATCGTTATTGTCTGCTCCGTTCTAGACACTACCTTATGAGGTCCACTGTAGGGCGGCTTGAGGGAAGGTCTGACTGTGTCATCTCTCAAGAAGACGTGTGTAGCAGTCAAGAGGTCCTTCGAAACGAAGACTGGCTGCTGACCATGGCGGGAGGCAGGTGTTGGCCTCAGTCGTGCCATCTGCAGGCGGAGTTGAGTGGCGAAGTTGGTTAAGTCCTCGACGCGATCTGGAGCTGGAGAAGGGGAAATGAGTTCACCGGGCAAGCGCAGGGTTTCCCCGTAAACAAGCTGGGCCGGTGAGCATTGCAGGTCCTCTTTGAGAGCTGCGCGCATGCCGAGTAGGACCACAGGCAGCGACTTGTGCCATGTTTCCTCGTGGCACATCAAAGCGGTTTTAAGTTGCCTGTGCATGCGTTCGACGAGGCCGTTCGCGCACGGGTGGTAACTTGTGGTGCGAACGCGTTTGCTGCCACACATCTGCATGAGGGTCTGAAAAAGAGACGACTCGAATTGACGACCCTGGTCGGTCGTCACGATGGTGGGCACGCCGAAACGAGCGATCCAACCTTTAAAAAAGGTTTCTGCGCACTCCTCCGCTGTCATGTTGACCATTGGCCAAGCCTCTGGCCACCGAGTAAATCTGTCGACAGCCGTCAGACAGTACTGGAATCCCTTACTGGAAGGGAGAGGGCCAACGATGTCAATATGCACGTGGTAAAATCGTGCGGTTGGTGCAGAAAAATTACCAAGAGGAGTCAATGTGTGCCGAGAAATCTTGCTGCGTTGACAAGCAGTACAAGCACGAGACCATTTGTAGCAGTCTTTGTGTATATTCGGCCACACAAAACGCTCAGCTACCATGCGTGCGGTTGCCCGCGCGCCGGGGTGGCTGAGATTGTGAATTTTGTCATAGTAAGGACGGCGAAAAGAAGATGTAAGAAATGGACGAGGTTTACCCGTGGAGACGTCACAGAAAATTTCAACGTCGGAACCAGGAACCAATACTTTTTCTAGTTTTAGGGACGAGTTGGTTTGCATCCTCTGCAGTTCGTCGTCAGTTGCCTGTTCCGCAGCGAGAGCAGCGAAGTCATCGAGTATATGGACGGCTTCCACACGTGACATAGCGTCAGCAACTACGTTTTCTTTCCCATGTACATGAACGATGTCAGTTGTAAACTGGGATATGAAAGAAAGCTGGTAGAGCTGGACGGGTGGAAGCTTCTCTCGTTTTTGTGAAAAGGCGACATGTTGAGCTTCCATGATATGGCGAAAATGATGGACAGCGTCGTAAATCGCTAGCAGCTCCCTGTAGTAGGCGGGCCAGGTTGTCTGGCCGGCTTTGAGCTTATTGCTAAAGAAGGCGAGAGGCTGCCCGGAGTCATCAACGAGCTGTTGTAAACAAGCGCCAACATGGGTGGACGAAGCATCGGTGAATAAACCAAGTTTAGCGTCGGGTACAGGGTGGGCAAGAAGCGTCGCATTCGCAAGATGGTCCTTGCATTGGAACGCGGTGTGGAGCTCCGGTGTCCACGGAACTGGTTGCGACCCTTTAAGCCGACCAGACACGTAACTGTCGATTAACGGCGCTTGGAATTCTGCAGCATGTGGCAGAAATCGGCGGTAAAAATTCACCATACCGAGGAATCTGCGGAGGCCTTCAACTGTTTTAGGTGGAGGGAAATTCCGCAGGGCTTCGATGCGCTCAGGAGGCGGACAAGTACCCGATTTGCTAACCTTGTATCCGAGGAAAGTTACTTCATCTGCGCCAAGCACACATTTCGATGGGTTGACAACAACACCGTATTGCGATAAGCGCTTGAATAGAGCGCGAAGATGGTCAACATGGTCCTCGGGGGTCTGTGAGAAAACGAGTATGTCATCGAGATAGAGAAACACGAAGTCTAGGCCATTGGTTACCTCATCAATGAAGCGCTGGAAGGTTTGTCCAGCATTGCGCAAACCAAAAGACATAAAACAAAATTCATACAAACCGAAAGGTGTAATAATGGCAGTTTTGCTTATATCTTCAGGTGCGACAGGGATTTGTTGGTAGGCCTTAACCAGATCTATTTTGCTAAAGATAGTACAGTCTCCAAAGTCCAGCTACCAAAGTCTCCGATGTGTCGGACTGGGTAACGATCGGGAACCGTCCGTGCGTTGAGTCCCCTGTAATCGCCGCATGGTCGCCAGCGGTCTTGCGAGGTGGATGGAATGTCAAGGTGTTTATCTTTGAGCACCATCTGCAGAGGCGAAGACCATGGGCTCTGAGAGGGGCGGGCTGTACCACAAGCTACCATGTCCTCGAAAACAGCTTTGGCTACCTTGAGCTTTTGAGGTGCGAGCCGGCGGGGGACGACTGCAGTCAGGTGGTCCGTCTGTGGTCAAAATGTGGTGGACGGTGTTGTGCTTCGCAACGCGGGGAAATCCGGGTGGTCTCGTCAGTTCTGGAAACTCCTGGACATCGAATCCAGAAGCTCTGGAGGGACCGCGAAGAAGTCGGCATGGAAAGCAGCAAATATCCGATCCGGTATCGATAAGAAATCGATGACCCGACTCGGTATCTTTAATGAACAAACGGCGGCTAGTACTAAGTTCACAATCAGACGCCGCTACTGATTGTTCAGGGCGTTTCCTGTCTGATCGGGTTTCCATGTGCATGGAGTCAAACATTTGGCGGCCTTGGTACCGAATTTGGCGTTGGTACCAACAAGCGCCCGACTTGCGGTGCCGAGATACAGAACGAGGCCGGGAGTGTGAGCTGCTCCGCGAACGAGAGCCTGCGTGACTTCTGCTCAAAGCGTCGACCTTCTGTGTCAGTTCGTCGAGGCGTTTCATAAATTGGCTAAAGTCGGATAGGGTGGGAACCGCAGAAGCAGAATTAACTGAAGCGTCTCTACCGGGGGG